ATGAATCCGGCTTCCATCCATGCGTCACTAGCAATATATTCAGTGTCAACGAATATATCTGACATTCACGATCTGGCTGTTTGCGAGACCCTGCTAATGGTCACAGCTTATTTTCGTCGCTGTGGCAGAAAATCTCAGGTTTGGCTACAAAGATCAATTTTTTCTTTCGCGTGACAACGACTTGGCTAAAAATACACTCAACCGCCGCTGCTGCTGTAGATGCTTGTGTTTACCTGTACTTGCAGCTCTGCGCACGGCCCACCGGCTCAACGCCTGTTTCAAAGAAGTGTCTGCTGCTGTGAGGAATGTGACATTGCTTATGGGCCACGTACAATTTCAGCATTGCGTCAGTAGTTGTTTATTCCGGGTTGCATCCCCTTGTACTCCTTCATGGGCCTTGAGGGCCAGCTTAACTGTGGGTGTGCCGAGTGAGCTCGCAGCTCCAGAGTGTTGTTTTGCACGCTCGGGTGTCTCCCTCGAGACTCTTGAGTTGCCGTAGTGGAAAACATCCGATGCGTACCAAGCGAAACCTTCGTAGTTTAGAGAGAGAAGAGGAAAAAGCCCCTATAGGGCCCGCAGTGTAGCTCGTGGAAAAAGAGATGTCTGTCTGCATGTTGAAGCGGCCTTGATCGAGACACTGAAGCCTAAAATTCTGCCCAGGAAATAACGGTCCGCTGCTACTTGTTGGTCAAACTTCACGTGCGTTCTTGCTGCTGACCTTTGGTGCATATATGTGCATATATATATATATATATATATATATATATATATATATATATATATATATATACATATATATATATATATATACATATATATATATATATATACATATATATATATATATATACATATATATATATATATATATATATACATATATATATATATATTATTAGTGGTGTTGAACGTTTAGATGCAGCGTGAGCACAACGTCAGAAGGCCGCTCAACTTTTACAAAGTTTCCACTTTAATGCTTTTTGTCTTTTGCTGGAACAGCGATGCTTTAAACCACCTGCAGTGACAATCTCATTGAGCCCGGGCGCAGAGCTCCATCGAGATTGACTCGACCGATTTGGCAGTGTGACATGAAACGGCGATGAAGAAAAGGTGAAGACGGCGGCTCGGCGGAAGAGCCGGGTCATCCTTCAATCAGAGGATCGGCGGTTTCTTGATCCCCGGCTCCACTGGCCCATGTAGACGCGTCCCCGGGCGACACACTTAACCCCCCAGATTGCTCCCGTTGTCAGTCAGTCCTGATGGGCAGGTGTCACCTTGCAATGTAACCCCCGCCGTCCCCGTATGAGTCAGATGACAAGGAAAGCGCAACGGAGTCAAGTACAGTCCACTAAATATATTTTTGATATATTTTTTCGAGTCATCTGCAAATCCGTAACTAAACACTTTTGAGAACTCATCCGTGTGCATTCATCATTATTGAGACTGACTGCAGAAACATAGAAACATGTGGACAATTTCGTTTTGATATCATGGTAAAATGTGATTATATCGGACCTTCTGTTGCCCTTTCGGAGAGCGCTCATCTCCTTAGGAATGCTTCCACGGTTGATGCCCTTCAAATGAAGTACTGGAGACACACCTGGTTTACCTGCTCTCACTAAAGGTTGACATTTTACTCTAAAGGGACTCATTTTCTGGCTGCATTGTTTTTAATTCGATAATTTCTTTGCGTTTGATGCTGTTCTTTATGCTTTGTGTTCAATGAGGGATTTTGAAAGATATTTCCAGTAATGAAGATCAACAGTAGCAGGAATTTAATAGTAACTAATTACTTGGGTGTCACGTGTTGTATGGAAACATTGTCTGACTTACCTGCAGTTTGTCTTTAAAACATTGGCAACTTATATAATCAGTAACAATACTGTAGAGCTTTGTTTGGATTAAACAATTAAATATAAATATTGACTAATGTCAAGTAAGCCACTAATTTACATTAATACACGATCATTATCATGTCTTTACAAACTTTAAATCGCAAAGTCTTTGATTTCAAATCCCTCATTTGAAGGTTTACGGCCCAGTTATTACATTTATTTGGATGAAATGTCCCAGTTCTGAAACCTTCTGTCATCTTATTTCTTGGGCTGCAGTCTGGTTGAAAACTCATTTAAACTTCAACAACAGTTCATGATTTCTTAATAGGTAAAAATGACCTTCCCAGTTGTGCGCATTAGAAGCACACGCAGCCACCTCATCCCCCATCATATCACCTATACTGGATACTACTGTGATATTTGACAGCGTTTGGTTCCTGTGTCTTGTACTAAAATGAACAAAGCAGTAGCAGAGAGTAATCCCCCCCCCCCCCCCCCTACGATCCCCCTCCTGCATGTTTTGTCCTCCTAATCGGTGTTTACAAGTGCGCAGTTTACAGCTCAAAATCCCCATAACAACCTCCGGGGTTGTCGTTCACCGCTGAGCATCTTGTCTTTCTGCCGTGCTGCTCTGAAAAAGTAATAGGTCATCAATAAATGAATGGCAGTCCTCGTTTGTGTCTGATGTCAGCTGATGACCAGGCGGTTGGATGTGCATACTGATAACAAATGACTGCGCCCTTCGTTGACCCTCCTGGCGGCAGAGGATGCCTGGCTGTGCGACACAAATCCACTGAATAATCATTATGCCAGGCCACCGCGGGGATTTAATAAACTAGCAAATTGACTGTGCTCCAATCAGGTCACAGCGTGCGCGCTCGTATCTCGTCTAAACCCTCTGTGACGGCTCAATGATGATGCAGGACGCTGCGTGGGGGATGTTGGGCACAGCGCTTAGTGTTTCAACCGCGGCGTACAGCCACTGAAGCTGGGATACGCAACACCACAAACCAAAGGGAAATTTTACGATTTAATATTGACTAATTTCTCAGACATCTTTTGATTGCATTAACTTATACTTAGTAAAACATGTATGCAGCAGCTGGTTCCTGGAAGGCTGTGTATAAATAGTGGAAAGGCAAAAGCAGCTTCCTGTCGTGTTTTAATGAACACTGACGCCAATTGTTTGAGGCATCTAAGAAAGAGGCCAATTATCTGACAGCGTTGAACCTATTTGTGTATTCGGTGGTTGCGTTGGGTGTTAATTCAGCCTTTTCTTCGAGTTGAAATATCTCGTTGTTCTGCTCAAAGCAAACCGCATCGCACATTGTAACTGACGCAGTGAAGCGCCGCTCTCTCTCTAATATTCACGGGTCAGTGCGACGGCGTGTGCGATGTGAGCGTAGAGAGTGTAATGCAAGGCTGTATGTGCTGCAGTTCACTGATTTTGTCCTTCTTCCGTCACAGTTTTGCAGTTCAACACTCTCTGAGACGTGGTGCAGTGCAACCTCGGTCATGTGCGGCCAATTCGCGTCGCTAGCATGTTTAGAAGCAACCTTCTCTTTAACATGTTGAATTGAGGTTGAATATTGATAGATATTTTAACTAAGAATGCTTATAGAGTCTTGTAGATGGCTTGGTTTTTAAAGGAAACTAAATCCATGGGCACATAGTCAATGGAATCCAATGGAATTACACACTGACAAGTAGTCAAAGGGATCATGCATTTCCTGTAAAGGGCGGTGCGTCTCTTCATAACGTTGCTGCTTTCAGCGGCATCCGCTCTGAGGGATGTTGGGTTTTAGTTCTTTCTCTGCTCACCGTACCCGTCCGCCGATCCCTTGAGGAGTTTTGCAAAGGGCAATCTAAGAGTGAGCGGGCTGCTATTAGAAAGCCAATAATTGGATGTAGTTCATGGGTTGCTGCACAGACTGATCGGTGGCTTGTCAAAACTTATTGGTGTTCATACAGGTTGAAACGTCCAACCTCAACAGATTCACGTCCTCAACAAAATAACACCAAACTTTTATTGTACAATATTGAATCTGTTTTCATAAAAAGTTTTGAATATGAAGTCACGCTCACGATCCTGCAGTATTTACTGTTTTTTATGAATTTTTTATTATGTTATATTTCTTCAAATAACTGCGGCTGGAAAAACACACGAGCTGCGATGTTTGGGTCTGGTGCTTTTCGCTTCACTGACCCCACGGAGAGAAATCCTCTTTTCTCGGCTCCGCCATGCGGTGGTCCGGGTTCGGGCTCCGCTGCAGGGAATAAGAGTCCCGTCTCAAGGGCGCTTTTCCTATTTTCCTGTTTCCTTTTGCTTTGCTTTTCATTTCGGTGAAGATTACCTTAGAGTTTCATCTGTCGACCTAAGGATTATGAACTACTGCTCTATGCGATAGCCCGATGAATACCTGTATGAACACTGTGTGTACACACACAGAGGTCTCACCCCCCCCCGGCTGTTGTGTGGCACTGCATTACGGTGCAGACGTTTCTTTTTTAGTGTCAAAGCCTGCATAAAACATAGAGCAGGGCGCTCTGTGCAGGCTGACTTCTTTCCGCAGGAGCCTGAGTTTGAATCTCTCTCATCCCCTTCGTGTCTATCGCAAGCTGGTAGTTTAATAGGGGTTTTGAGGCAAAAAGCCACAAATATGATTTATAAATTATTTCAATGTCACAACATCTTCCATGAAACCATAATGAACTTTCAAAGATCCAGCAAAAGGCAAATGTGTTGAAATGATATCAGAATTAGCACTGTGTTATTATTATTAGCACTGAATCTTCTGTTTTAGTTTAAGCTCACTCACCTCACCACTAACTCATTTGATCAAATTGGACCAATTAAGACGGCAAAGCCTCTTTTCCAACTAAGAAATGATGAGGTTTTACCGTACCCACATATTTCTCTTTTTATTAAGTAATTTCATTTAAATGTACTTGCATTTATATGATATCATTACAGTCTGTCTGGGTTGAAAATACTATATAAATATATTAAGAATGCAATCCCGTATCAATGGGGATTTCCCTGAGGGTTGACGGCATTGAACTCAATGAGATCCGGATTGTGACGAGAGCTTAAACTCAGAATCTGTTCTGGTACACGTTGATCACAGCTTGTGATTATTTAAACTTCTGCGTGTTTTTCTGCAGGTTTCATGGGACACAATGGCCACCCGAGTCCATGCGAACACAAGTACTGTGGCTTGGGGCGTCACTGCGTGGCCGACCACGAGACCGGTCAAGGGGAGTGCAGGTGCTTGGATTACTGCAAGCCGCACTACAAACCCGTGTGCGGTTCAGACGGGAAGCTGTACCAAAACCATTGTGAGCTCCACCGGGCCTCCTGCCTCAGAGGGCAGAAGATTACCATCATGCACAGCGAGGAGTGCTTCTATAAAGGTAAGAGCACATGTGACCTTTCTCTAATGCTACGTGTGGCCCGCTGGATGCTGTACCGCGTCTGCCACCGGGCCCTTTGCGATGCATCTCAGGTTCCCGTCGAGACCTCGTACTGTGACAGGCATTTGTTACACCCACAGTATAGATATTTGAAGCTAGATTCCACACAATTTTGTTTGTTGGCTGAAAAAAAAATGTTCTGCTTGGAGAACTTATCCACTCGAAGGTGAGTTGTTTTTAGTGCGATGAAGGAAAACTAAGCAACACACTGTAAAGGAAGACAAGTTGCACCCAAACTCATGTAGTTTTACTGCAGGAACCCCCTCCATGGGACACAAACGCTTATCCCTGGGCAGTGCTAGTCTCATGCACAACCCGTCCTGTGTCTGAATCTAGGTTATGTACGACCTAAAGGGAAATTCATTCTCTTCAACTTAGACGAAGCGGAATAACTGAAACATCTGTGGGCCAATGGACAGTCTGGGAAATCGCCATCAATCAAATGTTGGCTGCCGGGCCAGTTGATTCCATCAGCCTCTTTGGCAGTTAACCAGCCGTCATCAGGCGGAGCCCATTTTCAGCTACTTGGTTACTAAGATACTGCAAGTGTCCATTTTGGCTTGTAGACTTAAAAGGTTCTTACCCTAGATCTAAATAGCGTATTGAAAAAATGTCACTCTAATGAAGATAAAACAATAACTTCACCAACAAACAGCAGCAATAATTGACTGGATTTTGCAGGAACACCCACCGGCTCTACTAGTATACATTTATATATATATATACACATGTTCACATGTTCCATGTTATACACATCCTTTCAAATCAGATAATCATCATTTAATCATCGTTAATGTTTCGATATCAGCTGGTGTAACAATGTTTTTAGTAAGAGGAGATCCTATTTTTAAAAGATAAAATAAATCCTTTGAAAATGCATGTGGGAGTTTTATACAGAGACAAACTCAGCATGTAAATTGTGTGGTTATCTCTATTCTCTGTAGATGCATATATTACTGCAAATGTAGATACATTGCAATTTGTAAATACATAAAGTATACAGATCAGATGACTCAATCTGAAACTAGATAGTGAAGCTCAAAAGCTCCGTTTGCAGGAGGGAGCAGGTGGCAGCGTTCATATTTCCCCAGAGAAGGTTGACTGCTTCCTACCATTGATTGTATAAACACACCAATTATTTTTAGTCTCTGGATACAGGGCCACTCTCCCTTTTGTAAAGCAAGAACGGGTGTTGTCGCAAACTACTCTCAGACAGCATATTCATAATATTCACCAGCGATTGATTCGACAGGTTTTCCCAGCTCACTTTGAAAAGTAACCCAACTTACCTGCGAACCACTTTGGCTTCACACCGCGTTGCTGATGAAACCTCCTCGTGTTTCTACCTCAGTGAGGGTTTCAGGTGCGACATCCCGGGACTGTGACAATCTGCCACCGCTGAATTGTTCAATCTAGCGATGAATAAAAGCTCACAGCGAGAAAGGGAAATAAGTGCAAAACACATTCAAATCGCCTTGAGAGAGCGGCGCCGTGGTCGTGGCGTGCGCTTACAGCAGCCGGAGGTGAAACCGTGTGGATGAGCCACTGATAACAATCCAGAGCATCTGTTTCATCCCAATCACAGAAAAAGGTTCAGATCAGTGATACCGCCCCGGAGTCGGCCGCGATCAGACCGTTTCATGCATCCTGTCGGACCCGCGTCATCGACCGATCGGCATCTATCCGCATGCAGAGTGGGATACTTGACCGATGTCAGTCGATCAATATCAGATCAACAGCAGCCGGAGGAAGCTCTTTTTTTTCTCTCCACGTCATCTCACCACCCCATCTCGCTCGGCCCAGACCTTCTTTCTTTTTCACGGTGACGGATGTAAAATCAATTTCTCGTTGGATGAGAGAGGACACAGGGCACCATTAGTAATCTCTGCCAAAGGCATTGTTTTCTTCTCTACACTTTTAAATGTAAAAATAAATCTAATCGGAAATTACCGAACGTTGTTTGCCGTTTTAAATCTTTACACCGGAAAACCCAGGGATCGCATGAATATTACACGGCCTGAGGGGATTTGTTCTTTGTCTCAAAGGGAACAAAAGGAACCGTGGAAATCAGAGGAAATAGATGATTGGGTAAACAGGATTGATCTCACGACGGAATCTAGATGTGATTATGATTCGGGGGTTATTAGTGAGTGGAACGGAATTTGCCCTCGATGGCATGTCAGATGTGTCACTTCAGATGCATTCTCGCTATTGTAGCATACAAATGAGTATCCCGTAGTTCAATATTAGTTATTATCATGATGGTGGAAGGTTCCACTGAAACCTGGCAGAAGGTCGCGCCATGAGGTCCAGAAGCGATGATCACAGTCGAACCACTCGGCTGAACCAGGGGAGGAAGTGTTGTTCTGTTCACAACAAAGGAGCAACCGCCATGAAACTTTATGCAGACAGTAACTGTCCAGAGAGGACGGGGCCGAGGAGTCTTACCACAAGTGTCCTCATAGTACTGTTTTGTCATATAATGCTAATTTTGCTATCACTCGGTCCAGCATTTTAATGCACGAGGGGGAAAATATGAGCATTTGAAGGTGAAAGGGCCTTGTTGCTCGAATTCTGTTTCAAGTAACCAGATTTTGTAGTTACATATGACCATATATCTGTTGGCCGTTTATTTCTTTCCAACATTACACCTTCCTATAGCACTTTTAAATCCCGTCTTGGCTGTGTTCAAAGCTCATATGAGAATTGCACCAAACCTCCCTTCCTTTAATTGAATATGCAGTGAGGAGAAAACACTCCCTGCAGACAGTAGAACGAGTAATAAGTAAACTTGTTTAAAATACAGCACACGAGTTTCAGTTGGTGTGGAATGCATCATATTTGCACCTAAAAACAGGTGCAACAATCTTAATAAACAGATCCCCTAGTTGTTGATTGGCTGAATTTACGGCACGGAAAGCTTCTCATTACAGCCGCATACAGTCTTCCCTTGTTCAGTATATTACACCGGTTGTAATCTTTAACCATAGGCTGTTAAATTTGGTACACGGTGCAATAAACTGTCAATGGCAAATGGATGATATACTGGTTGCACTAATACGCCCCTTGCTGTTCGATGCTAATAAAACAGGGGATGTATTTCCATCATTTATCAGCTGCCTTCACACCAAATTCCGTGGACAAATAATCTGTGCACACCGAATTTAAAATACAGATGTGCAGGCCACCTTATTTTAGACCCATATGTGTTCCATATATCTAAAATGCTCCACAGGACAACTGCTGATTAAACACTATACCCCATCCAATGGAAATACATAGAAAACAAATGTTTGTTATATTCCAAAGTACAAGATTGGTGTGTTTGCAGTGGATGTGTGGATTTCTTAGGTATGCTATTCCTACTGATCTCACACACATCCAACATTCTATTTTGAAAGTAGAAATAGGGCTGCAGGACATTCTCATTTTGAAGTGCTATTAGTTCATTCTAGACAAAATTGTACCATTATCTCCTACATTGAAATGTCTCAATGGGACCAAATATCACACAAGTCCAGAGTATCACAAAAGCTCTGAAAAGATTCTGCTTTGTATTATTGTGATAGACAGACAATTAGTCCCACGGGCACCTCAAACCTGGAACCGGCAGAGATGATTGCTTTTGGACTGACATCCCTCTGCAAAGAAGCTGAACCACTGCTGGTTCTGGCACCAGCTGGATGGCTGTATGTTGGAAAAGAAGAGGCTTTGTCAGCCAAATCTTCTCTCTGCTTCATACCATCTTTGGAGGACAGGATAACAATGACAGCCATGTGTGGACTGGAGCTTCTCATTAGCACTGGGGAGAGCATGTGACCCACCATTTTCCCCCTCGCACTGCATGGTAACTTAACCGGGATCGGATCTGATTGAAAATTAACTGGTGCACAAAAGCCTGTCCAATCTGCGGAGGGAAATGTGTGCACGTAGGCGAGCAATCTCTGCAATTGCCACGAGCAGAGACAATCAGGGCTGCTAAGGTTGCGGCACATAAAGCAAGTGGTTTCGGCGCTTTCAGCGCATCCAATTACCTGGAAGATCATACATTTAGAAAACCTTCAGACATTTGGCTCCAAATAAATCTTCTGTGCCGAGGCTTCACGATTTTTTTATTTACTACTTACCGTGTGGTGCCACTGCATCATTTACTTTAATATTGCATCACGGTGTCGGGAAGCACGGCCGGACGTTTTAGATGGGATGTGATTCAATAGTCAGATGAGCAAACGGTGTCTCCTCGATGAAGTAAAACCACCTGCAGACCGTAAGTAGTTGCATAGAACTTTGATTTGGTAACAAATCCAAAATACAGTAAGACGTCTCTCAAGAGAAGCAAACACACACTCAATCACCAGTCATGCAGCCTTTGAGATTTCAACTGCTAAATTGCTAAAATGTAAAATATGTAAACTAAGCACTTTTCCTTTAACAGGATGTAGTGTCGAACTTAACACACCCGACATGATTATACAGTACATCCTTTTAATCACAGTGATAGTTTTAATCATCAAGGGGTTGCTGAGTTTTCAAGTACTGTCAAAATGTGATTGATGAGTATTAACTAACTTTCATAATTACAACGCTATTGTAACAGCTCGGCTTTCTGTAGTTGTAACAATTCCACCTACATGCTAGCAGCTCGTGTATCTTAGAGTCACAGCTTCTTTGAATGGCATCATTTCCCAAATCTGTCTTTAGAATCTCAGAAAAAGAGTGAATAAAGCCATTACAGCTTCCCGTCTAATTTGCGTACATAAATCTGCGTTGCCGTGTTCAGACACTTCACTATAGTTGCTACTTAAAAATAGTGCGAATACACTGAGTATATTGGCTCTTACATTAAAGCTATATACAGTGGAGGAGATAAATATTTGAACTTGCAAAGGTAGCTTTATTCCAACAGTGATACATGAATATAACAAAAATAATATGTATAA